GCCAAAAAATCCAATTCTGCAGGAATGCAGAAATCATTTGGTAATTTGTTTTGACACTTTGGGTTTTCTTTAAATAAATTATTTCTCCTCTTGTGTCAAGAAAACCTTCAATTCTTCATCATCTTCATGTTTAAAGAGCACAAATGTAATCATAGAACTTCGTTAGACTGAATCCCAGATACAAGGACAGCACAAGTGATGGGACACAATAGCTAAACATCGGCCCAAGGCGTTGGTGAGCAGGCCAGTGGCAGTCAACAAGGCAGATATAAATTTAAAAGAAAAAAGAGGTTCTGCAAAAGAGGGGGCAGGCATTAGCTGGCAAAACTGTCGCCTCAATTGCAGACATATTTGCAGATTTTTATCTGTGTACTCACATCTGTGCGCAGGGCTTTTATGTTCTTGCCACCCTTTCCAATAACAGCACCGGCATTCTGTGAAGAAAAAAAAAATTGATGAAAAGGTGAAGAAAACAGCAATGCAGTCCCAACAGCTGATGTGTGAGTCTTTTTACTTTGCTCTGAAGCAGCACTCGCAGCTCCACCATCTCATCTGTGTTGCGTGAACGTTTGAAGGCCTGCTCCTCATCCATGTCCTCAGCTGGGCGCTTACCTAAAGAGACAGGTGATTTGGTCAAACGGAGACGGGCAGTAACTCTGAACGCAGTACTCAAACAAGTAGTTCAGGGTAATTGTAATAATATATATATAAACATAAAAAACACACTTGTTGTTCTTCCAAGACATTGTTACCATAGTATTCTATAATACCAAACAACACAAACAATTTAGGACTGAGTTGCCTTACCGTTAGGGAAAATAAATTGGGGGAAAGAACCAAATTAACATTACCGGCTAAAGCCACTGAAAGCTTAGAAAAAGTGACAAAAACATAACTACACGTCAGGAGCTAGGTCTACGCCATGTTCCACCCAAAGAACAGGTTTCATTTAGCGGCCAACTGCATCCTGGAAGAAGTCCAACACCACCGTGTACCCTTCCTGGATTAAAACATGGGACAGATCTGCTCAGGGCCCACAGAACAGCAGTATGCTGGACAGGCGAATCCCTCAACCATCTGACATGTGCACATGCTATGAAGCATAAGCCAGTTTCTTTTCCCCTACCTCTCTCCTTTCCTTAAACAAACTAATTACCATTTGTATCTGCAGACTGTACTTCATGCCGGATGACATGACAGACAGGCTTAGCTTATTTTTAAAAGCAGGACCTCATTTACATCTTTACATTACTCTAATGAATTGCTTAACTCATCAACATAAACCTGTGTGGGACCTTACCATTAGTGTCAGTGTTGCTGAATGAGATGTCTTCGTCCTGCTGTTTGCCTTTCACCTCCATTGTCTTTCACCTGCAGCGGGAAAAACAAACAGGTTCCTCTCCCTGGATCTGCTAAACGGAGGGGATCAAATGATACAATCAGTCAAACGGCATACAGTACATGCAGGGACACACCTGATCAAATAATCTGAAGGAGTTGGCCAATATTATCAGCAGACATTGATCTATCACAGTCATTACTTAAAAAGTATCAGTCAGCCACTACAACTATAGCATGTATTTTTCTAAGTACGTGAATTAGCCAATTGCAGATATGACTGATTAACTGCCTGCAATATAAAGTGACCACTGAATGTTCCCACAGCCCAGTGTGCCTATAAACTGAGCTGTGGAATTATACCACCACAATCAAAAGAGGAGATGAAGCAGAAAATCCTCACAAAACAGATGCTGCCACCAAAGAATTTGGGGAATTTATTCTTGATAGTTGTCTGCAACAACACGTGACTAAGCTACGTGCAGCACACGAAATTCATAAGCATGTATGTATTTGCTCAGGCACCATCCCGCAGTACTTCATCCCAGAGATAATAATCTAGGATTGGACATGTGAAAGTGTGGTAGCTCCTGAGTGTTGCTGGCCTGCATGCACTGTACTGTACAAACGCAGCCCACCTAAATGCGCTGCCTACTGTTGCTAGCCAAGTACTGTACATGCTGTCTGGACCTCTGCAGGCCTTGCTAAACTTAAAAGGAGTGCCAGTCAACGCCCACATAGATCAGGAATTAACAGCACCCGTTTTAACCACCAAGAGCCGCCACAGACACCTAACGGTTAAAGAGGAGACTCCAGAAAACACAAACACGTATGTGCGCTAATGTCATCCAGAGCACATTAGCCGTTTGAGAAAGGTCCAACAAATGGCTAATATCGAGTCTTTTTTCTCCCCTTGGTTTTCATCAAAAATGAAATTCAAAACAGCAACCCGAGGTGACTGGACATTAGAGAAACTGCTCCCGAAAGAAAATGTGTTTATCACCTGATGCCTGCGAATAAGTTAGCTATCTGTTAACGGTACTGACATTGCGCTCCCAAGCTAACAGCGCTGCAAAGCTAGCCAGTTGGTGTGTTTTACGAGGCGTGCCTATCAGCTCCACTGTCCACGTTGTGACTGTACAAAACCGCAAATAACAGCAGAGCTACGCGGCTATCCTGCTAATGTCAGCCGTCAAGTCTTGTTTAATCGCCGACAGCTTGCGAACAGATCGAATGACGCCACGTTACAAGCCGAGCTATGAAATGTACAACAAACAGAAAAACAAACCTGGGGCTAAAAAAACTACGTTCACTGCGGTCCTCAGCGTTCAGCGGTTGCCTCGCCTTGAAACGTTTTCAGCACGGAAACACACGCTGTGGATGAGCTCGATTCGTCGACCCTCTCCCGGTGGCTCCAAGTCAACACCGGCGGGCGGGGCTAAGGCACGTTAGATCCGCCGAAAGGAAACTTTGTACCCGTAATGGGACAATGTATCAGACACCCTCCTCTAAATATTTTGGGAATTTCTGGTCCTGAATTCAGACTGCCTGGCTAATTAAACTTGCTTCATATGAACGTCAATAAGAAATAAGATTGGAAAGGTGGAAATTTAGTGCGATTAAACATTTACATATTTATTTTAAACAGTGTGAGTAGCTTAACCATTCTTTAAAAAGATCGGACAAACAGCATAGGTCGTGTGGTTAATTCAAAAAAGAAAAAAAAGAAATTTGAAAACATCATGTTACTAACCACTCCTTAAAAACATTTGTTTCGCATTTCCTTTGCTCTGCTGTATCTATACATTTATGCTGCTTGTTAAATTACACCCTGAATTTAGAAGATGTAATTACACGTCACAATGCTGGCAAAGAAACATAAGTGAGAGGGAGTATTATGGACTGTGAAAATATTTGTTAGCATTTTCTGGTGGAAGATGTAGGAAGCCACCTGAAAGAAATCACATTTGTTGTATTTGAAATCAAACTATTGTGCGAGTGAGGCCTATATAAAGAGAGCAAGTGGATATTCCAGGATTTATATCAGCAGTGCCACAGCTGCATTAGTGCAACAGGCAGAGGCACTATTAGAGAGAGAGTGACACATGGCACTCAGAGGTTCCTGAATGGGAACATTTTTCAACGGCAAAGCTAGGAGTAAAAACTCCAAGAGCAAAAAATTTTTGGTTTTGGATTGGAGTGTTTTTGGTATCATATCTAAGGGCGAACCTTTTAAGTGGTTTTGATTAGTGTGTACATGACGTGAAATGAAAGATGGGTTGGAGATTGATTCTAATTATTGGTTCAAAGTGACTTGCTCTTATCGTGGACTTGGATGTTTCAGAACTGACACCATATGAACAAGGACTCGTTTGCGGACGAGCTTCTCTTTTTCCCGCTTGTTCATGCTCATATTCCAGAAGTTAAACTGCCTCGAAGAAGCGATACTTCCAGCTAAGAACACCAACAAGCAGAATTGGGGAAACTGATATACATTTTTATAGATTATTTATAGATATTCCCCATTTTCACAATAAAAGAAATGGCACATTCCACAATCTGTATTCTATTGCATTTTAAAGTGACCCCCCCCCACCCCCCCAGACAAGATCACGATCAAATATTATTAATCCAGAGCCACCAGCTGGCTTCCATGCATGTATTGCAAATCAGAAGCCCTGAATCATGCCCATATTTCCTCCATCAATCACCCCCCACACCTTTTCTCAAAGTGTTGTTATGCTTCTTCAGATATATATGCAAGGATCTATTGCAAAATAAAGAGCTCTCTCTTCTCTCTCCTATACTCTGAGGTTGCCATGGAGACAGATATAATTCAGTTCTTGATGTTTCTCTTAAAAAAAAAAGCCTGCGTACATATTTTCATCTGCAACCATAGCGACACTTGACATTGTCCGCGCTATTTGTAAAGACCAAGTCACCATAGCGACACTAACCATCCAGGCTGTGTCACAGATCATGTGTCCTGGCTGCCTCCTCGTCGTGAGTGGAAATTGAGGAATCCGGTGGTAAACATGATCTATTTATTCATTTTGAAAACATATGACCAGCTTGATGTTTTGGCACTGGACAGCAATTACCGAAAAACCAAACAATAAATAAATAAATATTGAACAGAGACCACATCTGGCATGGAACTGGCACATTTTGGGACGTATACGGGGGAAAAGCAATATGTTACAATTAATTTATAAAGAAAAATGATCACGCATTCGTGCATCAACGTCAGAGCAACATATTTGCAGTTCAGCCCCGAAATGTTTATTGACAAATACTTTAACACCCACCCACAAAAATGTCTTAAACTCCTACTAAAACATGCAACAGTCTGCTGAAAGTTGGTTTTATTATTATTATTATTATTATTATTATTATTATTATTATTATTATTATTATTATTATTATTA